ACACAGCAGATAAGTATAACATGTTTGTTATTTTACAAAAAAAAATATATACCTTTTAATATATGGCAGCTTACCAGTCCTTAGATGTGGTGGCTGCATTGGTTTTCTATTTTCAGGCTTTTTCCTTGATTATCATCTGGTAATTTAGTTAGTAACACACTTCCTGTACTAGGGTGACAACAGTCAGACACTGTTCTATGGAGAAGCAGGCTTGTCACCTTGGAACGGACTACAATAACCTGCTCTTCCCATTTTCTCTATAACATAGTGTGTTTAGGGGAACCTTGTTCAAACTTCCTTCTCATAACTAGTTTATTTGTTAGGAACAGCCCATGAAGTCAGTGCATTTCAGGGGAAAGGACTCCCCCCTTCTTCAGGGCTATTGAGGCTAGTATGTTTTAACAGCATGCATGTATCCTGCTGGATTTTACAACACGTTAGCCTCAATCCTTGCTCAGTTCAGGCTTGTCATTTTATCCGGATTGTATTACAAATTGTTGTCAATTCACTCTTCAGAGCAAGAGCAAGTATTTTCTGCACTTATTAAACAAAATGTGTTCAGCGGTACAGACCAAAAGGAGCAGGATGAGGGGCTCAGGGATTTCTACTAAAAGAAGCGGAATTGGCACAAGGGAAACATCCTACTGACTGTAGATTGTGTCCCTTGTGTTTGATTTTTCTGGTTTTTATTTTTTATTTTAGCTGCATTTAGGATTTGAGGAAGCCTATCTTGATTGGTCATCCCAGGATGATTAATCCCAGTGCATGCTAAGAACATATACAAAGCTAATTATACTTTAAAAATAAAATGGCAACCAATTTATAACTACAGGCAAACTTTTTTTTTTTTTTTTTATAGTTTTAGACAGAATGGACAAAAATTTTACTGCCCGTCCATTTTTATTGCTGTCTGTGCCCCCTGTTAAAGAGATTCACCCTCTCCATTTGTCCTGTTTATCGTTATCAGTGAAAAACAATCCCAAATTTTGGGTTGACACCAGAACAATAATATAGAGGAAATCTTCCAACGGGGACACTAGTTCTAATGACTCTGGTGACACCAGGGATTTCCCCACTTTGGAGGGATTTGCTCTTTTACTGAAGTGATAGGAAATCTCCACAATGGGACATAGATGGCAAAGCAAAAAAGGACTGAAAGGGGTTATAACCCTCCCTTTCTTTAAGACAGGCACAGTAGATGATTACCAAGTTAGATAAAGTAAGTTTTTAAATGAGCAAAAAATAGCAATCATCAACAAATTAATACATTATATATATATATATATATATATGGCTTTATCTTATTTTACAGTAGCGGGGCATATTTTTTATGTTGTATTTTAACTCTATTCTGTAGAACAGGAAGATTGGGGCCTACAGAGAATCTCTTTTCATGCAAATGCATCTCATATTTAACATTTATATTAAATCGTACTAAGGCAACCATGTTTTATCTGCCTAGTGCAAAATAGCACATTGCAATAAATGGTTAAAACATGCAATTTGATTATTTTTCAGCCACAGTAGAGTGTGTTTCTTATGTGCCGCTTCTCCAGAGTTCTAGTTGGGGAACACACTCTTAAAACATCATCAATCACTAACACTCATCGGGACTTAATGTCACATGATTCATTGCATTGGCATACATGCAAGCCCATTCATTGAAAAAGAAAATGCACCTGACGTCAGGAGCAGGGGCGGACTGACTATTAGAGCACTCGGACACTGCCCGAGGGCCCGGGGTCAGTAGGGGGCCCCATGAAATGCCCCTGGTACCTTTTTTGTAGGCTTTTTTGAGTGTGGTCAAGGACACAGGGGCCCCATGATCCCCTATTGCCCGGGGGCCCCATGAGCTGTCAGTCCTCCCCTGTTCAGGACACTGCCTCAGAAGCTGCTGTCAATTACTCCACCTTGGAGGAGAAGCAGAAGTGTGTCTTCAGTCTGTTTCCTGCTTGGGAAACAGACTTCTTTCCATCGGGCTATAGGCTGTACAGCGGAGCGCACATGAACTGGTAGCTCAATAGTACCCTGCTAGGGCAAGGAGACACCCAACAACAGAAAAGAGGGGGGCAGCTATAATGGAACCAGGCAGAGAAGGGGGGAAAGGAAAGCTTTAGAAGTAAGAGAAGCAGCATCTTATATAAATCTAGAACGCTGCTGCAGAAAACGTAAAAATAGAGTTTATTATTACTTTAAAGGATATCATGGGCAGCACAGTGGCTAAATGGTTAGCACTTCAGCCTGGCAGTACTAGGGACGTTGGTTCGAATCCCAACCATGGCACCACCTGCCTGGACTGCAAAGCGAAACAAAAGCGCACCAACCTTGCACATTACCTCAGTAACCAAATATTATTCAATACAGAATGATACTCACAAACAGCGAAGTAATTCAAGCATTTAAGTCCTCAAAGGGACTTGAGCATTAGGCAGCCTGCGCGAGTCCCATCATAGGGGTAGACACTCAGAACAGCTGATGCGTTTCGAAGGGCATCCCTTCTTCCTCAGAACCCTGAGGTTCCATCTATCCACCACCTATCTGGGTCTCAGAGCGCAGGAGAGTTTGTTTCTGACCACCTGCCTGGAGTTTGCATGTTCTCCCTTTGCCTGCGTGGGTTTCCTCCAGGTACTCCGGTTTCCTCCCACACTCCAAAGATATGCTGGTAGGTGAATTTGATCCTGTCTAAATTGGCCCTAGTATGTGTATGTATGAATGTAAGTTAGGGACCTTAGATTGTACACCCCTTGAGGGTTAGGGACTGATGTGAATGTACAATATATATGTAAAGCGCTGCATAAATTGACAGCACTATACAAGTACCTGAAATAAATAATAATAATAAATATCTTAACCCAAGATCAAAAATGTAATGTATTGCAGCTTACAATCCTTTAGATGTGGTGGCTGCAATAGTTCACCTTTGGGAGAGCAGCCTAGGGTGACAGCAATGGCTTCCTCCATAGATACAGTAGAGGAGTGGCATAGCCACCCAGGGACAAAGTGCATTATTAGCAGGATTACTAGGTGAACGAAAAGAAAAGAAATCGAGCCACCATCACAAGTACTAGTAAGCTGCAAAATATCACTCTTTGGTTTTGAGTGATTAAGCTGATTGTGACTAAACCTTTTTTCTTTACTTTTTATTAGTGAAGTGCCTCTCTCTAAGGAAAACTAATTGAAGTAATTAGTGATTATACTGGACTGACCAAAAAAAATTTTTTTTCTCAAAAAACTCAGTATCAATAGCTGAGCAGCAGTTAAACAGTTAAGAATGCTTGCTGTTTGATTGCCGAAGATTGATCGTCACTGATTCACAGACCTGTATATGTAAAGGTTGAGGAAACACCCTTACTTCCCCTAGTCAGTCATATCTGTCAGGTGCTGAAGCATGTTGGAAATGTCTTTCATGTCTTTACAGGTATGACAGTTTAACAGATTAACAGGTACTGGTAGTGAAACGTAAATGAAATCCCTCATGGAGACATTAAAAAGCAGCGAATCAATAATTCAACCTTTTGTGACAAAGCTTTTATGAATCAGATTCCACATAACACGCACACACTGAGCTGGAATTCCCATTACTCTGGGGAGGCAGTGCACTTCTGTAGGTCCCTTCATGTTTATAGACTGTGAAACTTCTTTTGGATTCAATAGGAGCAAAACTGGGTATTCTGTAACATGGGCTACAGTGGCTTCTTCATTGGACACAGGACACCGGTTCACAAGTAGATGCTTCTTGTAAAATGCTTTTTAAAAGAAAGTTAATTTTTTATGTTAATCACTTGACATCATAACTCCTAAAATGTGGGTGATTGATTTGGATTAATTTTAAAATCAAATGATTACAAAACATAGCAGCTCTACTTATGCTTTTTGGTTTTTTTAGCTGAATACATTTATGTACGTAAACCCATAGAGATTAGAGATATCTTGTTACTTGGTACTTGTGATTTTAGCATATTGATTTCAAACATTGAATTGGACAATGTTGGCGGTATAAGGAAAGGCAACATGGGGTTTGGGGAAAAAAATAAGTGATGCAAAAGCCATCGCAGGCAAATTGACAGCTATTGAAGGCAGCAACATTCTCCACATAGGGAGGGATACAGGAAAATACACTGTCAACAGTTTGGATCAGAAAACTAACCCCTCTCTGGGGGATGATCATTGATTTAGCAAAGAGGATCCAGCAAGCGTTCCATTTCTATTTTTAAAGCGGTAGTAACTGCAAAAAAAAATTGGGCTCCTGCAGGATAATATAATGTGCTAGTATGCACATTATGACAGAGTTGCCCTAAAATGAAGCCCTCCAACAGCAAGCTGTCACTGCTGCCGGGTCTTCCATCTTCACCTGGTCTTCCTTCTGGGTTTGTGGGCTTCAGTCATTTGAATGGCCTCAGTCATTTGAATGGCCAAGCTGCAATGATGTCACTCTTGCACATGCACATAGGAGTCACCAGCTGCAGGAAAGAACTCTGAATGGATGGCTTTGTCCATTCAGAGCTCAGTGTGAATTCACTGGTGATGTCACAGGGTGCTACTAAAGTAAATATATCCTAAAGGGTGCACATTTAGGAGATATTTACTGTACCTACAGGTAACCTTATTATAGGCTTACCTGTAGGTATAAATCAAAAAGCGGACTTTACTACCACTTTAACCACCTTCCGCCCGCCATATAGTCCAATGACGGGCGCAAGGTGGTTTCTCTCGTTCTGATAGGACGTCATATGATGTCCTTCCATTCTCACCGCGCAAGCGCGGCTCAGGAAGCGCGTGGCGATCGGCGGTGCGCTGTGTCCCTCGGACACAGCGGATCACCGATCCATGGAAAGAGCCGAAGATGTCGGCTCGGTCATGTGATCAGCTGTGTCCAATCACAGCTGATCACATGTAAACAGGGAAATGCCGGTAATCTGCATTCCTCAGAGGGGACATGTACACTGATCATCAGGGCACTGATGATCAGTGTGCCCTGATGATCAGTGTGGCCCCAGAAGTGCCACCTGTCAGTGTCCACCAGTGCCAGCTGTCAGTGCTGAACAGTGCCACCTGCCAGTGCCCATCAGTGCCATATCAATGCCACATATCAGTGCATACCAGTGCACATCAATGCCACATATCAGTGCCTATCTGAGCTGCCTTTTAGTGCCACCCATCAGTGCTGCCAGTCAGTGCCACCTATCAGTGCTGCCAGTCAGTGCCGCCTAACAGTGCCAGTCAGTGCCGCCTATCAGAGCCACCTATCAGTGCCATATATCAGTGCTGCCTTTCAGTGCCCATCAGTGATGCCTGTCAATGCCCAACAGTGCCTCCTCATCAGTGTCCATCAGTGCATCTTATCAGTGGCCATCACTACAGCCTCATTAGCGCACATCAGTGAAGGGGAAAAATCACTTATTACAAAATTTTATTACAAAAACTAACAAAAACTTTTTTTTTTTCAAAATTTTCAGTGGTTTTTGGTTTGCTTAAAAAAAACAAAAACCCAGAGGTGATTAAATACCACCAAAATAAAGCTCTATCTGTCACCAAAAAATGATAAAAATTTCATATGGGTGCAATGTTGCATGACCACGCAATTGTCATTCAAAGTGCGACAGCGCTGAGAGCTGGAAATTGGCCTGGGCAGGAAGGGGGTATAAGTGCCCTGTAGGCAAGTGGTTAAGCATTTAGAACAAATTAGATGATTGCTTTGTTTTAGATCATGTTATCCTCTATTTGTATGTGTGTTCATAGATTCAGAGATTGGATAATTTTTGATGAACAACATTGCTTTATCAGCAGGTTTCCCTAAAAGATACATTGTCATAAAAAAGGAAAGCTGCCATTACCAAACTCTTATTTGATGTGTGTAATAGTAGAGGTATGGATCCAGTACTGGACGTTAGGTTGATGCCTTTCTGATTACAACAGACCAATCACTCAACAGATGAACAACGTCTAGGTTTGTGGTTAGGACAAATTCCCAACTTGCTTGAAATTTGTGGAAAATCATGGGCAGAAATTGAGGAAATGATCAAACTAAAACAATCAAGTGAGCCAGAAACAGTTGCTGGATCAAAGCTAGCATGTCCTAACAGTATATGAACAGCCGGCTAGATCCAGCCAACTGGATGTATTGAACTGCTGCGGGAAAGAACAGTGGAAGCTGTGTCACTGGTTCCCCGCCATATCAGAAAAGGGTTTATGACAAACACCAGTTCTGGTATCATACCTCCACCCCTTCTCTTTGCTGTTCAAAACACAGTCTGTCATGACGCTGCTTCTCATATGGGGGTCGAGGAGGAAGGCCTTTACAGAGGCACTCACTTTGTGCTGCATGGGCAAGGTGACAAAGGGGGTTATTCACTAAAACTGGAGAGTGCAAAATCTGGTGCAACTTTGCATAAAAACCAATCAGCTTATCAGTTTGTATTGCCAAAGCTCAAATGAACAAGCTGAAGTTAGAAGATCTGAGTTCTCCAGTTTTAGTAAATCCACCCCAAAGTCTCATTCTGTTTTAATGGTGAAAATATGTTATAATTTACTTCTTCAGGCTTAGTATAGCCATTGCAGCAAGGTAGATTTTAAGTTTTTTCATGTCTGAGCAGCTACAATAGTGAAAAATGCACAGTATTATTCATGTTAAATTAACATTTAAAATCGTTTTATAATAGAATTGACAATGGCAGATATTTCATATAAAATACACAGACATTCTTATTTCATACATCAGATAGCAATGTATTAAAGAGCAGTACCCACAAGGTCAGTGAGCAATCGCCTATCCTTGTTCAGACTGATGAATCCTGGGATCTCTTTGACACCTATAGGGGACTGTTTGCACATCATCATTGCTTTTTGCACTCATTCATTGAATATGCCTGACTTTGCACCTTTATAGTTCTTTTACCTTTCTTGTTAAATATGAAGCGTCTGTGCCAGGAATATCTTCCACAATTATTGATATGTTGCAGAATGAATCAGACTTGCCTTTAGTTAATTTGATGTCTGCACTTCTTTTCTAATCTCCAAGGGAAACACATCTTGTATTCGGCAAAGACTGTTTTGGCAAGTTGTGATTGTGTGAAAGACCCTATTTACATTTTAAACTTTCTGTGTGATGTTCAAGTGTAGGATGTGTAATTGTATTTCAGTCTCTTACCATAAAATGCTTCTTTTACAAAAAGAGTTTTTTTTGAATGTTTAACAATAGAAGATTTGCAAAGCTATCAGATATATCTGCGTTACCCACTTGCAGTTAAAAAAAAAAAAAAAATGTAACAATGTCCAAAATTTATGTTTGGGATGGAGGACAAGCAGTAACCTGATACAATATAAATTTTCACATTAGTAGTGTGTCAACCAAAAAAAAACAAAATAACCAAGGCAGCTGCCCCTTTTATATTTCAATATGTTTTTCTAAGAATTTTTAGAAACATACAGAGAGATAGGAAACGCAACCCACCAACATGATGAGTTGTAGAACATCAAGCAATGAAGCAGTATATTCAAGTACAATGTGTAGCAACACAACAACAAAATCGACCAATAATGCGTAATGAGAGGAATACACTGGTAGCACATTTAGATTTTGATTGATTATGAGCAAATTGCACCATAAACCAAGTATTACAAATAATATTAACCAGTTGCCGACCTCAGATAGCCGAATGACGGCTACACTGCGGCCTGCCAGTTCTGGGAGGGCGTCATATGACGTCCTCCCAGAACGCGCTCTCCTTCGCGCCCCCTGGGGCACTCACCCGGCGATCTCTGTGATCGCTGTGTTCTACGGACACGGCTGATCACGTGATGTGGTAAAAGGCCAATCACAGCGGCTTTTTAGCGCGTGATCAGCCGTGTCCAATGACACGCTGATCAGAGGGAAATGCAATTGCCGGTTCTCGCTGCACTTTCCTCACGCTGTCAGAACGGCAGTTGTCAGAGCAGGGATCGGCACCGATCATCGGGGCACTGATGATCAGTGCCCTGATGATCGGTGCCCAGCAGTGGCACCCACCAGTTCCACCCACCTGTGCCCAGCAGTGCCGCCCACCTGTGCCCAGCAGTGCCACCCGCCTGTCACCCACCTGTGCCCATCAGTGCCGCCTTTCAGTGCTGACTATCAGTACTCATCATCAGTGCCACCTATCCGTGCCACCTCATTAGTGCTGCCTATCAGTGCCCTTCAGTGCTGCCTATCAATGCCCATCAGTGCTGCCTACCAGTGCAGCCTCATCAACGCACATCAGTAAAGGAGAAAAATGACCTGTTTGCAAAATTTTATAATAGAAACAAAGATACCTTTTTTTTTTTTTTTTTGCTCTTTTTTTGTTTATAGCGCAAAAAATAAAACACCCAGTTGCAAGTAAATACCACCAAAAAAAAGCTCTATTTGTGAGAAAGAAATGATAAAAATTTCATATGGGTACAATGTTGCATGACCGGCGCAATTGTCATTCAAAGTGCGACAGCGCTGAAAGCTGAAAATTGGCCTGGTAAGGAAGGGGGTATAAGTGCCCAGTAGGCAAGTGGTTAAAATAGTAGATAAAAGAAAAGAGAATGAAAAGTGAGGAAAGAACCAAGGAAGAAAATAAAGGAATAAAAACCCTGAAGAGAAATAAGAGAGAGGGCCAGCCAAGAGTCTGTTAAATAACAGAAATATACTGAATCCATGGGTCCCAAGTGCTCTCAAATTTAGAAGAATTGTTATTAAGTATACTAGTAAGTTTATCATTAATCACAATCCAATTAAGTTTCTGTTTGACTAAGTCCAGCGATATTGCTGACCATTCCCAATGTTTAGCTATCAAACCCTCACCGCCAACAGCATATAAAGAATCAATTTACCCGATTTCTTGGGAATATCAGTGGGCAATAAATGAAATGGAGCTATTTCAAGGGATCTATGAATATTAACCCCCATTACCAAGTAAAGGAAATTAAATAAACGGATTCAAAACCTAGTCACCACAGGGAGTTTCCACCATATGTGGAGCATAGTACCCTCCTGTCCACAATGTCGAAAACAGCTGGGTGACACGGAAGGGTACACTTTAGCAAGACGTGTAGGGACCAAATATCACCAAAGAAGCGTCAGCTGCCCCTTTTAAGTGCAATTAACACTTTAACCTCCCTGGAGGTATTCCCGAGTGTAGCTCGGGTTAAAGTTTCCACAAGCGGTAACCCTGAGCTACACTCGGGAATACCCTGCAGCGTTGCTCTGGGATCCCTTCTTCACTTACCTTCTTCTGCGCTCCCGCGATATCTCCCCTGCAATGTCCTCTGGCCGATGCCGGCATCTGTCTTCTGGGTTCTGTTCCCTGCGACGTGGGACGTATGGGGGATGGAACTGGCGGGAAATTTGAAAGTTGTAAAAGTGCCATTCACTAAATACACTAAAATCACATAGTATAACATTACTGTATCAAACCATTTCACATACATTTTGTCCCTAGTGCTTTGTCCTGTGCCCTGCCTGCATTTTTACTGTTCTTTCTGCCTGGAACTGAGAAATGTCCATGGCGCCCAAAAAGCGTCCCTTTAGGTCAAAAGCGGTTTTAGACCAGCTAGAGAACAGCGATAGTAAATCAGAACCACTTGCAGAATTGAGTGATAATGATTAGTGGGGACATTCATCATCAGACACTGAAAACGATTTTGCGACTTTGCTCAGTGATGTGCGAACAAATTTCAGTGTTTTTGGTTTGATTATATTATTGAATTAAATTTATTATTATATATTATTATTATTTTTTATGATTATTAAATTATTTATGATTTCGTGTTTCAAATTTTAACATACCCGGAATGTTTACTAGACTCTTGTTCAGACAGATTTCAGTGAGTTATTCCTAAAAATTACAGGCCTACAATAAAAAAAAATACATAGTTCCATGCAAAAAAATGTACCACTTTGAGCACAGAAATATGGACATAATCAGACCGCTAGGGAGGTTAAATATGTGAACAAACTAATTAAAGTAGGCACTAGCAATTAACCATAAAAAAAGTGTGAAATCTACATAATAGTGAAAAATTACTCAAAATCATATATACAATGTATGATAATGTGATGAGATTTACTAAAAAGTCCAATAAATAGAGTCCCCAATCACCAAAGTCTTATGAGATGAAGATAAAGTGACAAACTCTTCTTTTAAAGTCCGCAGTTCTCCTCCAACGTGTTCAGATAAACTGCTCACTCACTGAAACTCATACCAGAAGTAAGGTATAAACGTCAAACAGTGAGCTTTCTCACAATAAT